CTGTTTTGTTGATTGGCTGGCCTTGTCCTCACGAGAGGTGCCATCACGACCGGGTTGGGATTTATGGTCGTGACAACTTTGCCAGATACTTTTGGTGTTCTTCCGGAGACAAGAACAAATATCATTGGAGCTCATGGAAAAATTTATGTTTCCCAAAGAATGAAGGGGGAGTTGGCATAAAAAGTATGGAGGATATCTCTAGCACCTTAGCAATAAAAAGATGGTGGAAGTTTAGAACCTAACCATCTCTCCTGGCATAATTCCTCAACGCTAAGTATTGTTACTAGGACTCACCCCGTATCCAGAGCCATTAATAGTAGAGATTCCCAGATTTGGAAGAATATGCTTCAAGCAAGAGACAAAGCTGAGTGTAGAATTCTATGGAAGATTAATGCTGGAGATATTAACTTCTGGTGGGATAGCTGGACAGATAATGGAGCATTAGCGAAACTGGTACCTCAAGCTCCCAGGAATTCCAAAAGTACTGTTAGTGATTTCCTATTAATGGAAGATGGAATATGGAGAAGATTAGAGAAGCAATCCCAGAACACTTGGCTCAACAGATCATGCATATTGAAATTGGAGAAGCCGATCAACAAGATTATGCAATATGAAAAGACACTGAAGATGGGAAATACTCTACCAAATCGGCATGGTCGACAATTAGACTTAGCAAGCAAAAGAATCTGGAGTTGAATAAAGTGTGGCACAAATCCATTCCATTTAAAATCTCATTCCTGGTGTGGAGACTTTAACTTGAGGAAGTTACCATTCGATGAAGTGATTGCAAATTTTGGGAATCACGTGGTATCCAGATGTTTTGCTGTCAAAGAACACAATGTGATTCCATCCAACATACCTTTATAGAGGGCGAGGCTACCTGTCATGTGTGGAAATATTTTGGAGGGCCTTTTGGTATCACCCATCATGATAATTGGGATATTAGAAGAGTGCTTAAACAGTGGTAGAATATAAAGCCTAAGAATGAAGTATACAGGCTAGTTCTTCAAGCTATGTCAGTGATTATTAGTTGGGAAATATGGAGAAACTGGACTGCTTGCAAATTTGGTGATCAAAAAAGATTTGTTAGAGTTAAAATGGAATAACAAATTGTTTGGATTATTAAAGCTACTCTACAAACTACCTTCCCAAAAATTGAACTTCCTGGAACTTGGATCCCTATCTGTGACATGGTGGAGAGGTTGAAGCCAGTAGTGATTTGGAGGTAAGTAAATTGGATTAAACCTTTACCACATATGGTAAAGGTCAATATTGATGGAAGTTATGTTATGGAAACTGGCAGAGCCGGTATATGAGGTGTGGTCAGAAATGAGAATGGAGACCTAACCATGACCTTCTCAGTCCCTATTCAATCCAAAAGCAACAATCTTGCAGAGGCTGCCGCAGCTAAATATGGAGGAGAATGGTGCATACAGAATGGGTAGAATAGATTCAACCTGGAGCTGGATTCTTTGACCATCACTAATATGCTCCTTAATATGGATACTAGTAACCTTAAGCTCAGAAAACTGATCAAAGACACTTCTAAGATCATTCAAGAAGCAGAGGTGATAATTTCACACTGTTATAGAGAAGCAAATCAAGTGGCAGACTTTCTTGCTAAGATGGCTTCCTCAAGTGGAACTAGTACCTTCTATCACTCTTTTCAACAACTTCCGAAAGAGGTGAAAGGAATTTTTCAACTTGACAAATGGCAGTTACCTAACATAAGAAGAAGTTATGACAAAGCCAATTTTTTTGTTAGTTGAATTATAATTAGGAGATATGGAAGTGTTCTTGTATCGAGAAGTCTCTTCCACATTATCTTTTGAAAACTATATGTAACAGTTTGGTAAGTAATGATTTGGAGGTCAGGTCTATGCCCCCCCTCCTCTCTTTGTACTCTGCAACTTTTGTAATGGACAAGGTAGGGGTCAAGCCAACCCCCCACATCAAAAAAAAAAATGGACGCCAAGAAGAATGTTCTTTGGTAAATACTTACTCATACCGATTGTTTACACCAAACTATATTCACTCACTATGGTTAATTAATTTAATTAGATGAGAATGCATATAATTTACCATGGTTAAATGATTGAAGTCCATATGCAAGATACATGTCATATATTTATTGGTTTGGGGTAAACACCCGGTGCGGGTAAGAATTTACCATGTTCTGGACTACAATTTTGCAGTGCTGAAACCATCAAATGTAGATTTTTGTTCCTTATGTTGATAAGCTGTAGTGAATATGAGCAAGCATAGTTTAGATAGATGGTTAGTTTAATAAGTTAAACTTAGTAGTAATACACAAGAATGATCGTCGGCTCTACCAGAAGTCTAAAATCAATATTGTGCGACTGAATGGACCAGCCGTTCATAGGTTCAAATCTTGTGGTTTCCATAAAGATGAGAATAATAAAGGAGAAATTTGTAGATTGTGTCAATATATGAATTGTTTTATTACTCGTTATATCCGAGTAAGATGATTTAGGAGGGAAAAACGATAGCAGGTTGTTTACATAATCGGTAACAATTCGTTAAGTTTCTCACTAAGAAAGGATTAGTGATGTTAACAGAAAAAAATTCAAATTGAACATATTATGATCATTCGATTGCAAGGGAAAATCAAAGTAAAATATGGAGCATATATATATTAGTAGTAATTTCTAAATTACAACTGAACTTTATCATTACTGCTTTAACATAAATAAAAATTTACCGATTCCTAGTATATCTATCACAAATTTTACATCCACAAACTAATTTATGTGCCAACATAAACTCTGTTCATATATACGTAACTACTAACTATCAAAATGTAAGGTAACCTATATAGGCTTTTTCACATTAGAATCAAACCTGATGTGAATTGAAAGAGCATTTGCTAACTACTATAAAGTAGTTTATTTGAATTTCAATAGAAATCTTACTTCCTCAAGTTATGAATGAATCGGGCAAAAATAACTATATCAGCAAAACGAAATACAAAAGAAAACTCCTTTCCAACAATAGACAAGGACGAACAATCACCACCTTTAGTATATTCTGAATGATGTCAAGTCACCAAACAATTCCAATTTCAGTTACATTTTTTTTTTGGACAATAAGACATCCAAGTGCTTATGCCAGCTTGATGATGAAATGCCAGCTTTTATAACTAACACCGCGAACTGAAAAGCCAAGACCAAAAAACATGTCTTCAGGGCTCTCTGTCTGTATGTGTGGCTTTACTCAAAGGAGATTCCTACTCTCAGACAATCCAAAACAAAATACTAGTACAAGTTTCCCAATTTGATTCGAATCCTTGACGATATGTAAACATAAGTTAGTTTTGGTTTTCCAATTTAGCAAGTAACAGTTACCTTTACTTATCAACCTCTAGTGATACCACTAGTGCTATTAGTGATGATCAATGAGATAAAGGAAAACTGAAAAGAATTATGCACAATTCGAAAGAATAGCCATAAAAGCGTTTAAATACAAATGCTAATGGCACTACTAAATATGTAGAATACACCTTAAAATGAAGCTAGTAGTTATCATTGGCAGATATATGAAATATGAAAAGCTTTAGCAGACTTACAAGCCTGATTGATAGGGTTTCCTTTTCCAATTTTAGATAAATAATTGGAGTAAATTACAAGGAAATAAAGTAGAATTGACTAAGTATAGCAGGTAGGAATTGACTAATTTACTAATCAAGAAGAGTTTCCTTCTGATATTGTCAATCTTTTGATAGATGAGTAAGAACTTCATTATTTAGCAAGCAACATTGCTTGAGGAAAAGAACTAGCTCACTCCTTATTATCTCAACCACACGGTAATGTCAAATTTGTAAGCTTGGCTTATGCAAGGACTTAATATTATCAAATGGTGAAAAAGAAGGATAACTAACATTCATGATATGACTATCTATACCAGTACTTGAGCTCAGATATGCAGGATGACAATGCCTCTCGCGCTTGAAGGTTATCGGAGTCCATATGAAGGGCGTCTTGATATAATCTTTGAGCTTGCTGCAATAACTTCACCTTCTCTCTACTAGTTCTAGGCCGTAGACGGGATCTGTGCTGCAATGCTGTGGCCCATCTGAAAAGAGCTGTACAAAGAAAAATTTGTTTTAAGCCCGCATGTCAAGTAATCCAAAACAGAACTCTTCTATTCTCCTTCTCTTGGGAAATAACACAACACTAATGATGCTGGTACTACTCGTCCATTAAAGCCTAGCTATATAATGACCAGCTCAATACTTCATGAGGCAGCTCAAATGCGGGGAGGGGGATGATATTTGTTTTGCCACGCACTTTTTCTAGTTCATTAACATATCACATATGTTTTACCATTTCAAGCTTAGCAAAGGAAAAAGCAGAAAGAGACCGTAGGAAAAGATCAAAAAAGAGTGTGCATAAGTTTATCCAGGATATCCGTCAAATGGTGTAATCAGCTGGCGCTGAGATGCACCAGCTTTCTTATTTTAGTTAATAGTCAACACATTTTGGAACTTACGAAGAAAGAAGTGGGAGTGAAAGCTCCTTTATTGTTGATAGATTTCATTACTTGTAAGCATGTTAAGTTCCACAGCGAAAGAGAGGACGAAGAAGAGAAGGGTTAAAACATGGTCATTGTTGGAAGTTGGGAACGATAATAAGTCCAGAATTCTCAACAGTGATGGTAAATATTTTTTCCTACTTTTCTTATTAAATTTAAAAGAAAAAAGAAAGAAGACCATGGATTAGTACACTCAAAAGCCATCAACTTATAAAAAAAGTACACATAAAAGCCATCAAATTATAGTATAACGAATAGCTGTTTCTCATACCATCAGGTGCATATACATTGCCTCTAGACATCATAGCGTCAAACTTATCAATTGCAGCCAAGAAAACCTTGTCAGCATCACGTGCAGCACCCTGGAATTTTCCAGAAGAACTGTGAGTCTGTGACCATGAAAGCGGTAGCAAAAGTTCCCAAACAATGTGATTGCTTTAGAAAAAGAGCACTAAGCCTCTAAACAATGCTATTAGTTTGAAATTAGTCCAAATTATGAGATTTAACCTTTTTCACAATATTTGGGTTCAAACCACCGGAACAAAGAAATTTTCTTAAGTAAACCTAGTAATCTCAAGGAAGAGGCTTACAGGTCCAATGTCTGCAATCAACTGTGCACGCAAAGAGAGAGCAATGCCCCAATTATACAAGGCTCTCACGTCATTCCCATCAATCGACAAGGCCAACCTATACTGTCGTCCTGCCTTAATAAGTAATTCTTCACACTCTTCACAGACATTTACAAGATAAGATGTAAGTTTGTCTTTCTTAGGAACCATATCATCTAGCTCATCACGTATTTTAGTCCGTTTATATACTGATACAGTATCAGTTAGTAAAGCTCTCAAATCTTTGCTGATCCTTAACTTTAGTTCTCCATGAAGAAGATAAGTATTTCCCAACTGTCCCACAGCCAATAAACTCATGGGTCGGATGTCTATAGCTTTTGAGAGTAATATGGCAGACTTGTAAAGCGCATCCTCCGCATGCCTGTCACTGGCTTGCCTCCTTAAACATTCCTTCGCTTCTTTTACTAGAAAATTAGCCTCAGTAAGGCATTTATTAAATTGCAAATCAATGGAACCTACTGAAGATGGAGCCGAACCAAATTCACATTCATTTGAGGCCTCATCGCTATCCATAAATGGTTCATTTTCATGATTTCTCATCTCCTTACTAAAAAAATGTCTGTAATTCTCTTCATCATTTTCTTTTCCACCAAAATGGCTACTTATTCCTTCTAAATTCTCCACGTTCTGTTCATGCAAAGATGACGCTTCAGTTCTAGTTTGCTCCATATTGACGTTAAAATCCATAGAATCAACTAAACCATCATCAGATGCCCAAGATTCAAATTCACTAGGATGATTCATTTTGTGAGATACCCGTTGGTTCCTCATATACTGTACTCTGCTTGTCTCATAACTATATTCTTCTCTGTTGAAAACTGATTTAACAGTGTTACTATCCATCTCGGAAAAATTAACATTCTCATCAGAATCTACATTTATTTTACTAGCCTTCCCAAATGTCTCACCAACTTTCTCTTGTCTAATGGCATCATCATCAAAACTGTGCCTTGAAGTGCCATGATTGCCGTCTAAATTCATATCAAACAATGAATTTGGACGTCTTTCTTTAGTAGCAGATGTCAAGATATTCCCTTGCTTAGAGCCATTCTTCTTTGTGTCCATCAACTCACTCTCACCATAATCTTTCATTTTACTAGACTTCAAATCCGGTTTTGTTTGAAACAACCCCGCTGCAATCTGAGAGAAGTCAAAGCCATTTTTACCTGGCTCCTCCTTCTTCTTACTTGACTTTTGACTAAAATTTCTTTCCATTTCTTTACTCTCAATTGACAAACTTTCAATACAACCTTCTGTAACCTCTCTAACACTGAGAGCAGAAAATTTCATAGATTCCAGAATTTTGTCAAAACTTTGCAAATCATCCCCGGTAATTTGATTAAACTCAATACCTTTCCTAACACCCTTCTTCAAATTACCAATTTCCACATCAAAACTATTAAGAAAATTCACCAAATTCCTGAGTTTCTCAGCAAAACCTCTAAGAATCTGATCTTGAGGCAATTTCTTATTATTATCTAAGCTCATTTTACCCCCATTAACAAACCCCATTGAAAACCCAAGTGCAAATACAATAACACAACCTGGAATTGCTATAATTGAGGAAACTTTCACCCTTGAAATTGCTAAAGCACAAACAAACCCCAAGAGGTAAACAAAGACATACTTTTTATCATTAATTCCTAGAGAATTAAGAAAATTGTGAAGCTGATTAGACTCACCAGGGTTAATTGGGTCACTAATTAATCTTGGATCATCCCAACCACCACAAGATAACGACTCAGAAGTTGTAACAGAGCAGATAGTTAGAGTCTTGGCAGTAAATTTTCTTGGAAATGGATGAATGTGATGTGGGGTTTTCTTGGAAAGTGGTGGAAAGTGAAAGAGAAAATTTTGAGGTGAAAATTGAGGGAAGTTTTGAAGATTGAATCTTTTTGAAAGAAGGGTATTCATTTTAGCATTGATTTTATTGGAGATTTTGATGAAAAGAATCCAATCTCTGTGGTTTTCTCAGCTGAAAGCTGAAGGTCCTGAACTGAGAGTTCGGTGGCATCAGCCTGTTTCTGGGACAAAAGGCATTTTCGTGAATAAAATTGTGGATAAGGGTATTTTTGTCTACCAAATAATCAATTTCTTTTTCCAGAATTTATTTATTATTCGATTTATGTCTACCAAAACTAGGAGTGAGCATTCGGTATTTCGGTTCGGTATTTCGGTATTCGGTTTATCAATTGTGTATACCAAATACCGTACCAAAATATTTCGGTACGGTTCGGTATTTCTTATTTTGGTTCGGTACGATTTCGGTACGGTTTTTGTTTAAACCAAATCTTCACTATCTCACCACTCCATTAACTAATGTAATCCACGTTAATCATTGTGTGATAAACTGATTTATCACTGGTAAACTGATTTAGATTACTATAAACTTATACAGACATGAGCACAAATTTCAATATGGATAAGCAACACAATATGATCCAGCCGATTCATCAGATATTTAAATTAATAATTGGCCACTTCGAAGTCGAGTAAGAGTCCAAGTATATAGAGTTTGGACCTTAAACATTTGTATGGTTGTTGGGATTTAATTATATTTCTTTTTGTGAACGTAACTGCTACTTGAAATTGTGTTTTAAGTTCCCGGGTTGTTGAATAAATTATAATCACACTGTAATAAACATAAAATTGTCAAGCTTTTTATATATTTTTGCAGAACTTTCAGATATCAAAAAAGAAATCTACATAAGGTAAAAGAAGAAAATGTTATCCCTGCTATTTAGAAGCTAACATTAAATTAAAAAAAAAAACCCCACTATTCCAAAAAATAAAAAGGGAATAGTGGACATGCAACCAAAATAAATAAATAAATAAATAGTGGACATGCAACCTTATGCCACAATCTGCTTATTTGGCAGTTTTAAGTAATGCAAGGGGAGTCGTACTCCGATTAGCATGATTCAGTGTTACTTAGCAAGATTTACGAAGAGACCACAAACTCCATTTCTTTTACTATTAACTAGCTAGTGGTGTAGTTCGGATCACACATATTTTGATTACTTTAATAAGTAATCGTAAATGACTTGTGAGTGGCGGCCATGAGTTTGTATTCCGAGTTATTTACTTGAATGAAGCCATTTATGGATCCATTCATGCAGGGAGGCAGAGGCTCACTCATACAAGCAGCTTGGAAGTTGGCAAAGCTAAGAAATTTGATGAAGACTACAAGTAGGCATTTCGGTATTTCGAAATACCGAAATATTAAAAACCCAATACCGTATACCGAATCGAATTACCGAAATACCAAAACGTTTGTACCGAAATAAATTAAAATACCGAATAAACCGAAACCGAAATACCAAATTAATTCGGTTCGGTTCGGAATTCGATTTTTCGGATTTTATGCCCACCCCTAACCAAAACCCAATCTCTTACATCATAATTCAATAATATCCACTGGCGGGCCAATGAGAGAGCCCAAGACACACATGCTTCGTGCAAGTGGTGAAGTTTAGTAAGGCCCAATTAGTCAAGCCCATATCCAATAGTTTTTGACATCTTGTATAAGATAGGATATGGGGCTAATATATCATAAATTGAGTAGTATGGGTCCTACTATAATCGTCTTTGAAGCAATAACCAATGCAAAATCTGACAACGAAAATTTAAGTTGTAACTCATCTAGGTTATTTCTCTTCTCTTAACGTGATATAAAAGACGTTTTTCAAGAGTTAGCCAATTAAATTTTTTTCCAAGAATATAAAATGGTGGTCAAGTCAATCCAGGTCAAAGTGTGAAATTGTTGTGTACATACTGTGTAAGCACGTAATTTTTGACCCGCACAGTTTTTAAGAATTGATTTTTTAGTATTCGTAGTATTTTTAGTATCTATTGGATTTTACGGAATTTTAATATATTTTTATCTTCAATTTTAATTTTTAAACATAAATTGAAAATAAAAAAGATAGTTCGTTACATATTTTTTTATTTTTAATTAAGGCCATTAGTATTTTATAATAATATTTTGATTTTCACTATGATTTCAATTTATTTCTTTTCCTCTACCCTTATTTGAAAATAAAAAAAATAGTTTTATATTATGATATAGTTGTACTTTAATTAATTGGAATTAATTTTAATTTATTTAAAGGGAAGAAATTTTAGTTGGTTAATTTATTGACTTTTAAAACTGAGCGTCCAAAAATTTGATCCCAAATTCGGATTAGCTTGGAGAATTGAGCCCAATCTCCCCAAACCCCACGACCCATCAGCTTAACCCATGACCCGCACCAACTGACCAACCCATTACCTTTTAATCGCAACCCTTCATTACCATTAAATATAATGGCCAACACTAAATCTTCGAACCATATAAAATCCACATCTTCCTTCAAACCCTACCCCTATGACTTGAGAATCCAGCGCGCCACTACCTAGCTGCAAAAAAAAAAAGAGAACAAAGTTGAGGGGTTTTTAGGAGGGGGGTAGGGCTGTGCATGGATCAGATCGGATCGGATTTAGCATATTTCGGATTGAAATTTCAGATTTCGGATTCCACAAATTGCAATCCGAATCCGATCCGAATTATATCGGATTGGATCAGATTTTTAAAGTTCGGATCGGTTTGGTGATCGGATTTTCGGATCGGATTATACGTATTATTAAGGAGTGTGTATAACTGTATATGGATAATGGATATTACATAATACAATAGCATTTAAAAGAACAAAAATAGCAAACAAATGACTATAAATTACAGTACCTCAAGATCTTACTTTTGGCTTCATTCCAATTAATAAATATGTTACTAATGTCTAATAGTATAGTATTGTCATAAGCATAGAAGAAGCATATCTAACAGTTACAAGAGCAGAAGCATAGCAGAAGCATAGCAGAAGCATAACACAAGTCCCTGGAATAACTGTGGTACTTTGCAAAAGCATAAGAATTTCAAGTTCTACTGATCATTCTCATTCAATCCAGATTCTTTTACGAACCAAAATGGAAGAAACACAAGAGCAGAAGCATAGCTAACAGTTCAAGAGAGGGTAATAATTCAACAGTTCAACATGTCCATAAACAAAACACAATCTTCAGAATAAAACAAAATTAACTAAAATCCCAAATAGCTGTCTAATCACTAATGAACTGAAATCCTCAACCAGAATTCCTTAATGCAGCAGCCTTAAGTTCTGGCACACCTGGCACACTAGAACTGAAATCCTCAACCTGGCACACTTTCAAGTTCTACAATACTACACTTGTCAAAAATGAGAGAATCAGTAAATGTGTATCATGTCAAGTTGGGCAGCC